TGGACGGTTGTAAGAAGTTACACTGGGTTAATAAATTTAAAAGAGCTATTATTATTTCAGAAATTGATTGTTTCGATTCATTTTGCTGTTTATAACCACATCCATCTGCTGGAGCAGGTGGACTGTAGTCTTTAATTAAATTAGCATATTCCTCACGATTAAAACCATATGTTGGTTTTGGTGGTTGACGAGACTTAACTGTTTTTTTATATGATCTATGCATGGGAATTGCATAGTGATTTTTATCCTGGTTAAAACTAGTAGAATTATTTTTATTTACTGGATTAGATCGACCTATCAGCATATGGTTTCATAGCAGCAGGGTGTAATTTACTGGCTTCAGCATAAGATACACAGCTTTTTGCCATTGTCTCTTTAATAGCCTTTTGTCTAGACAGTTCTGGACATTGTTTGCTATTTGCCTGGTGTCCACCTTGGCATAAACAGCAAGAAAAGTTATCTTCTTCAACAGAACAGGATTCACCAGTATGGCCCTTGCCACATTTATAGCAACGTGGTACAGATCTACATTGGTTCTTAACATGTCCATATCGACAGCAATTATAACACTGAATAGTGGGGTAAATATATAAATCAACAGGTATGGAATTATAACATATAAAAACTCGTTTGGGTAGTACCTGTCCATCAAAAGTTATGACAATGGTTTCTGTCTCTATGAATTCAGATATCCCATTAACAAATGTTTTTCTCTTCAGACGTCTAACTTTTAATATTTTACCACATCCTAATGGTAGAGAAATATTTTCTATGATTTCCTCATCAGACCAGTTAACAGGGACACCCCTTATTAATCCCATTCTAGTTAAGTTGAAAGCTGGTATGTTTTTTTTTTATAACACAGCGGACAAACGAGCATGCGGCTCACCTGATGGTAAGTGATTACCGCCGCCCATGAGCACCCGCAACACCAGGGGAATTGCAAGTACGTTGTCGGCCTTTTAAAAAGGAATAAGCTCTTTTCTTGAAGGTTTCAATATCGTATCGGTTCGGAAATACCATTGCTGGAAGGTGATTCCATAATGTGGTTGTGCGAGGCAAAAAGTTTCTAGAAAACCGCACGGTGGAAGACCGCCATTCATCCAGATGATCAGGATGGTATTTCAGTTTCTGGCGGGTGGTACGGTGGTGAAACTCAGCAGCTGGTATTAATCCGAACAATTCCTCAGAACACTCCCCGTGATATATGCGGTAGAAAATGCACAGAGATGCAATATCACGCCGCAAAGCCAATGGGTCGAGTCTGTCACATAGACGTTGATTACCAATGATTCTGGTTGCTCGGTTCTGAATGCGGTCAAATGGAAGTAGCTGATATTGAGGTGCTCCCGTCCAGAGATGAGAACAGTATTCCATGTGCGGCCGGATCTGCGCCTTGTATAATTGCAAGCGATGAGCCGCCGTGAAATACCGTCTCACTCTACTGAGCACACCAAGCTTTTTTGAGGCTATTTTAGCCTTGTCCTCCAAATGACCGCAAAACTGAACGTCACTGGATATATCAACGCCAAGGACCTCGAGATTTGGCTTCACATCAAGGAGAGTGTCTTGAAACTGAGGAGATACGATAAATAGATTCTTTTTAGCGGTAAACGCGCAAACTTGTATCTTCTTGGGGTTGAATTGAACACAATTTTCCTGACCCCAAACCGAAACTTGATGCAGTGAAGTTTTGATTTCGGACACAAGTTTGTTCCGGTACTCTATAACTTTTGCCTGCGACATATTAGCATGGCCGCTGTACAAGGCATCTCCGGTACTGTCATCCGCATAGCAATGAATGTTGTTGATTTGTAACATGTCATTGATATGCAGAAGGAACAGAGTCGGAGACAGCACACAGCCTTGTGGAACACCAGCATTCATAGAGTGTGGGTCGGAGCAAGCACCATCGACAACGATCTTTATGCTCCGAATTAGAATCAGCGAGAAAGCTGGCGACCCATTTGCATAACTTCGCAGGCAACCCGAAGGATGGTAGCTTTGAAAGAAGAGCTTTGCGCCAAACCCGATCAAAGGCCTTCGCAATATCCAGACTAACAGATAGGGCCTCCCCCTTACTCTCAATAACCTCTGCCCATCGATGTGTCAAATACACTAGAAGATCACCAGCTGAGCGACCCTGGCGAAAGCCATACTGACGATCAGAAATCAACTGGTTCACTTCTAGGTATCGTAGGAGTTGACGGTTGACAATCGACTCTATTGTCTTTGAGAATAAGGAGGTGATGGCTATGGGCCTATAGTTAGCTGGATCTGAGCGATCTCCCTTCTTAGGGATCGGATGAACCAAAGCCGTCTTCCAAAGTTTCGGGACTACACCTGTAGAGTAGCAGTACCGGAAAAGACGCGTTAGTACCGGAGCCAACTCAGGTGCACATGTCCTGAGCACAATAGCAGGAATACCGTCAGGCCCACTCGACTTGTGGATATCAAGGGAGAGAAGAGACTTACGTACCAGCTTTTGGGTAAATTTTACCTCAGGCATGAAAGTCTCACACCGCGAGATGACCGGCGGTGATTGCTCCCTATCGTCCAGTGTCGAGTTGGATGCAAAAAGAGACCCAAGGAGATCGGCCTTCTCTTTAGCATGTTGGGCCAACGAGTTATCCTCTCTGCGCAGTGGTGGAAAAGATGGCTGACAGAAATTTCCCTGAGCAGCTTTGGCAAGAGACCAAAAAGCCCGGGATCCAGATGGAAGACTGTTTAGTCTCTTACCAATTCTACTGATGTGCTCCGACTTTGCTGTGGCAATAACTCTTTTGAAGGACCTGGAAGCGGAGTTATACTTCCTTTTATGGGCACTGGTATCTGGATCACTCGACTTCACAGCTGCAATCCAGGCACGGAAGCATTCCTGCTTATGGCGAGACGCCGATCTACAGGATCCGCCATACCAGGACTGAGATCTACCACCGACAGGTACCTGGGAATTTGGAATAAACATCTCCATTCCCTGAAGTACTACATCGGTGACAGATTCAGCCATTACATCAGGATCGTCCAGTGCGAAGCAAACTCGCCCCCATGGGTAAGGTGCAAAAAAACTTCGCATCTCATCCCAATCTGCCGACTTAAAATGCCAAACACGACGTCGACCAATAGATCGCGGCAAAGAAGGACGCGTGAGAGGCACTTCGCTCCGTATCAGACAATGATCAGAGGAACCCAATGGGGCTTCCACACAGATCTAATATCCGTCCGGATGAGAAGTCAGCAGAAAGTCCAACAGTGAAGGTATATGGTCAACAACATCAGGCATTCGCGTTGGCGAGGATACCAGTTGAGTCAAACCATATGCCAAAGCAAAGCCATGAACAGATCTCCCCGCATAGTCGGTGGTACGTGAACCGAGCCATTCAGCGTGATGGGCGTTAAAGTCACCAAGAACCACGACCTCAGCGGAGGGAATCTGTTGGAGCAAAAAATCTGTAGCCATTTGGACGTGTTCAATGAGTCGGTCAGTTTCGGTGTTACCGCTATGGGACCTGTATAAGCATGCATAGATGCGGGGGTGGTCATCGCAATCTACACGCAACCATAAAATGGACAGGTCAGTACCTTCAAGTGTACCAAGACGGCGACAGCAAATATCCTCTCTGACATAAGCGCACACACCGGCCCGTGGAATAAAATGGTGTTCCAATCTATATCCAGGGTAGGTCAGGTACGAAATTTCGTCGGGACAGGATATTTGCGTCTCCGTAAGGAAGAGCAAAGCCGGCCTCGCCGTCTCTAGGTGGTGGTGGACGGCGTTGAGATTGGAATGAATTCTCCTGATGTTGCAAAAACTGACTCTGAGCAAGGGAAATGCCGAAGGAGATTTGCTCCTGTTGGCCAAATTGAGCGGAGTATTGCCCACCCCAGAATACGCAGGGCAGCCTGAGTGTGATATCTCTGGGGTGGATTCTCCAGTAACACGGTTACTGGTACCACCCTGGGTTAAAAATCTCTTATATTCCGCTGCCTTGGTATGTAAGAATGGGGTGGGTAGGGGAAGGAAGTAGGAAAGGGATAGGGGGTGGGGGAGGGGCATCCGGAACCTACAGCTCACCATGCGAAACGCGATCCTGCCAATTTTTTTAAGACTACCATCAACAACAACGAATGATGTATTAGAAGTTTCTTTCTTTTCATTAAAATCATCGCATAGACATGAATATTTATTTTTACTAGTGTCAGCACCTCGATTCCTCCTACGTTTTTATTGCAATGCTTGCAAATATTCGCTATTGCAGATTTACGCTTACGTTTTGTACCCGAATGATCAGATAAATTAAATGAACAGTCTGTGTCCATGGAATCTTCATTATTACTTATAGTTACGTGTAGAGCGACCTCGGGGGCGGTACCCCCGGAGTCCTCCGGTGGGTTCATATATAATAAAATACAGAGACTTACCTAATATTGCTGCTACTAATAAACTAATGAATAATAGATAAATGAATGTAATGAAAAATACACTATTTACAACTTATCTGATCAATATTCAAATATTATTAATTTACTACTCAAAAATACGAACGCCAAACTTTGTGTTTCCCGCCCTTTTTCCTGACAGTGGCTAATGTCACTTTGTAAAATAATGTTGCCATATTTAAAGTAATAGTGATGCGTTCAGTTCTCGGTCAGATCAATGAACAATGCATGTGAATAGTTAATCATTGCAAACTATAAAAGAATATTATTTCTATTTTACAATAAAATTGTATAAAAGTGCTCTGATATAAGTTATTAGTAGTATGTAACAACAATCAGCTTTTTGACGGCTTATTACAAGGCTCGGCTCGCGGCGCGGCGACATATGCCAACACCGATCAATGCCGCGCGCGTCGGTCGCCATTTTGTTTGTATTCGGCTTCCAACCTCTGGTCTGATAGCACGAATGTTGTTTCTGCGCTCACGCTGTTTAGTTATTATTTTTGTTAAGTTTTTATTTGTTGTGTTTATTTGTTGCTATATTGTTTCGTATAAACGATATGGATCCTCAACCAACCACGTCAAGCCAAAGCTTGTCTCCAAGAAAGAAGAGACCACGGATAGCTTTAAGCGTTACCGAAAAAGTTATGATACAAAACGTCTACAAACACGTATTTGAGGAGAAAGCAGCTTCACTACTACCTATTGAGACTCCCGAAAAAAAAAGAATGTGTTTCGAAAACAGCTGACATTTTGGGAATTGGTGTAACCTCAGTTTACAGTGTATTAAAAGAATACAAAGAAAATGAACAATTTCAGTCTCCCGAAAAACGAGGACCGAAACACAGTTTCAAAGATAAACTAGACGATTTTACTTTTGCCGCTGTAAGGCAAAAAGTACATCAATTTTTTTATGCAAATGAGCCACCCACCATTGTAAAGGTAACTTAACCTTTATTCCTTCTACTGTATTATATTCTGTGTCCATCATAATGTTCTTTGTAAAACCAAAGTATGAGATTGCGTAGACTTCCTTACTTAAAAACTTTTTATATTACTTTACAGATTCTTAGGCAGTCAATGATGACCCAGACTTACCCAATTTTTCTTGAGTACATTAAGAAATGTTATGAAACATTGAAATTTCAAATATGTCACAAAATCAAGACAAAGCATTTTAATTGACAGACAGGACATTATTTTATGGCGCCAGCGATATCTTCGAAAAATTAAAGAGTATCGAAAGGAAGGAGGGTACATTTATTACCAAGATGAAACCTGGATCAATGAAGGTAATTACAATTTTCTGCTTTCTTTACATTAAATTGTACTTTCAATAATTAATTGATATTTTTCACTATCTTGAAGGTCATGCACCGAAGAAGGCATGGATTGACCAGACAGTGTTATCGTCCCGCCAGGCCTTCCTAGATGACTTGACCACTGGCATAAAACAGCCTTCAGGAAAGGGCAAACGATTAATTATCGGCCATATAGGCGGGGAAGAAGAATTCGTAGAAGACAGCTTATTAATATTTGAAGCCAAAAAAATAAAGAAGATTATCATCAAGAGATGAATACCGATTCCTTTGAGAAGTGGTTTAGGGGGATCTTGCCAAAACTAAAACCATATTCCGTAGTAGTGATGGATAATGCCCCCTACCACTCCAGGAAACTAGAATCGCTACCTACAATGTCTTGGATTAAACCTAAAATACAAGAGTGGCTAACGAGCAAAAATATTTCATTTGAAGCAACAATGGTTAAAGCTACTCTTATAGACATTGTACGGCAGCACAAACAAGAACATTACGATAAGTATGTTGTGGACGAGATGGCAGCGCAGCATGGGATAATTGTTTTATGTCTGCCCCCATACCACTGTGAGCTCAATCCCATTGAGTTGGTATGGGCACAGGCTAAAGGATATGTTGCAAGAAATAACAAAACCTTCAAAATGACAGAAGTAAAAAAACATTTTGAAGAAGGACTTCAGCACATCACACCTGAAAAATGGAGTAGCTGCGTGTCTCATATAATTAAAGAAGAAGACAAAATACATGGTCTCGACCACATGATCGACAATGTTTCAGACAGATTTATAATTAATGTCACCGAAAGCGATAGTGATGATTTTTTATCTGATGATGAATAAAAACAAATTATGTTATAAGCGATTTTTTATTTTCATTACCTACCTGTAAATGTTATATCTTATACATCATTAGTTTCAACTACATGATGCATTGAGAATAGGACAGTCTTACAAGTTTCCTCGCAATGTTTTCCTTATTGTCTAAAACACTCGATCTTCAGTATAGGTAGATACTATAGGAACTTAGTCATCGAAAACTCGTTGATATGTACCAAGCACGACTAAAATTCGTATCCCGTACCCGATATCGGCAGTTTGGCACACTAACTATTCACTAGACAATGGAGGCAATTTCATTTAATAAAGAGATTTTTCAATCATTCACTTTGTCACAACACTATTTTTATTTCATCAAAAACTGACAACACAGTAAACGTCAGTTTACTTCGTCTAATTAAAAATACGACTTAAACAGTTAAATCGTTCATTATATATTCCCCACAGATAATATACAGAAATCAGTCAGTAGTAGTAGTAGTGGTATATTTTATCCACAAGTGGATAGGCAAAGGTACGAGACCATACAGCCTAATCTTCAGTAGTATTTCCATGAAAATTCAAAAATTCTTCAAGGCGATATCGCCAAATCTTTTCATTAATTATAAGTTTGTGTTAAGTCCATGTATGTGTCCATAATTGAAATGTTTATAATTCTCCGATTGTTGCTATGATGAAGTCGTAAATTGGTTTAAAAGTTGCAGTGCATTTGAATAATTCTTGAAGCGATGGCGGAATAATCTTATATAGTTCTTGAAGCTTAGCAATGAGCAAAATTCTGTTTAAATTGAAGGCCGGGCAATCAAAAAATATATGTTCTAATGTTTGATTTTCGTTACTAGAGCATAAAAGACAAATCGGAGAATTAATGATCTTCATTCGGTGTAAATGTGCATTGAATTTACAATGTCCAAATCGTAGTCGACAAATTTGAGTATAAAATCTTCTCTCTAAAAATATTTTTCCCTGAATGAACCAGGGTTTTTTGCCAACAGTACTGTTTATCCCTGCATACCAAGTACCTTTATCTTTGGTAGTACGTTTCCAATCTTCTTCCCAATTTTTTAATAAGTTTTTTCTAATTTCAAGAATTAAATCTTGCCAAGGTAAGAAAATTTTTTTAGACTCACCACCCAATCTGTTGACAGTTTTGACAAGGTAATCTACTTCTTCATTACCTGTCACACCTTTGTGTGCCGGTGTCCAAGTAAATATAATTTCTTTTCCTTTATTAAACAAAACAGTCCATAGTTCTTTAATTTGGTAAATAATATAGCTTGTTTTGGCACTAAATGAATGATTTTGCAACGCTGATAAGACTGACATGCTGTCACTAATGATAAGCCACTGATTATGAGGTTTAGCGCATATGTCTTCGCTAATATAATGCAAAGCTTGCAAAATAGCCAAGGCTTCGGCAGTGAATATACTAGTAATGGTAGGTAATCGAAATCCATAACCAGTTTTTATATTACTATGGTAAAAACCTAATGACACACCTTGGTCATTTTTTGAACCATCTGTATATATTGTGTTAAATGTAGGCCATTGAGAAAGATGTTCATAAACTTCTTCTTTACATTTTAAGTTCTTATCTGTTTCTATTGTCATATTGCAAAATTTACTGTCATATGTCCCTTCATAACATGCCCACTTATTATTTGCCACATGAATATTATTTTGCTCAATTATAGATTTCATTGCAGAGAAATCAAGGAGAATGTATGGGAATTTTATGGAATTAGAAGAAGAAGCAATGGTTTGAGAATCTGTAATTTTTTGTAACAGCGAATTATTGGAAATGCTATGTAATTTTAGCAAGAATTTAAATTTAAGAAATTTGAATCTTAATGACAGAGATGGAATGTTGCATTCTACTTGGAGAGAGACTATTGGAGTTGTTTTCATTGCACCAGTGATTAGACGCAAATTATTATTTTGGATTGTCTCTAATTTTTTTAAGAGTGTGGGATTGGAAGCAAAGCAAAGGTAACTGTACTCAAAGTGAGAACGGACTATGGATTTGTACAACATAAGTAAAATCTTTGGATCAGCCCCCCAAAATGTTTTGGAAAGGCATTTTAAAATATTAAAAGCTCTAGAAGCTTTATCAGATATATTACAGACATGCTTATTCCAAGATAGATTTTTTGTTAATGTTACACCAAGAAACTTGGCTTCAGCTACTACAGGCAGTATGCTACCATTATAATTAATATTAGCATGCAAAGTTCTTGATCTACTGAATATAACAACTTTAGTTTTATCTAAACTAATATCTAATTGTAAATATTTAAAATAAACATTTAATTTCTTTAAAGCTTTGTTTATTTTATTTTCTACTATATGAATATTTGAGCCTGAACAGTAAACTGCTAAATCATCAGCAAACTGTAAATTGCTGACTTCATTACCAAGAATAATATTAATTTTATGAATATACAAAATAAATAACAGTGGACTCAATATTCCCCCTTGACATACACCTATATATGAAGATTGTGGACCATATAAATTATTATTGTACTTAACATAGACTTGTCTATTATGTAGGAAATTAAAAATCCAGTTAATCAACTTATCTGGTATTCCTAGTGTTTGCAGTTCATTAGTTAGAATATGATGATTAACATTGTTAAAAGCACCAACTATATCAAAGAAGACAGAAACCAGTATATTGTTACTAGAAAAAGCACGATGAATATCTAGGTTTAAATGATTTAAGCTCTCTGTAGCTGAAAAACCTTTCCTGAAGCCAAACTGATTTGAAGGTAATAACTTATTTGATTCTATATAAAATTCTAACCTTTGTTTAATCATTTGTTCGAAAAGTTTACTCATACAAGATGTTAATGCTATGGGTCTATAGGAGTCTGAATGATTTATCAATTTGCCTGGTTTAAGAATAGGAATCAGACAATCTGTTTTCCAATCGGGTGGTATTTCTGAAGTATTCCAAAGAGAGTTAAGTAACATTAACAAAGTGTTTTTAGAATTGGGTGATAATGTCTTTAACATTTTGTAAGAGATATTGTCAAGACCAAAAGCTGTGTTACGTCTGCTGTTTAAGGCACTGTAAAATTCTGTTATAGTAAAAGGGTTTATAATGAAGCTGTTATTATTATTTAATGATACCTGTATGTTGGGTCTACTTTTGGCTGGCGGTTTGGATGTAAATTTACTTAAGAAAGGAGAAATCCAATCAGTGTCTGAAGATATAAGTGAACAGTTATTAAATGTTTTATTAAATTTTTTCATTTTATTCCAGATAACTGATAGAGGAGTTTGCCGATTAATCGACTCGCAGAATTTTATCCAGCTGGCATTTCTTTCGTTTTTGAGAGTAAGTTTTTTGATTGCCTGTTGTCTTTTAAATCTTATGTAATTTTCTTGAGTGGGATTATTTTTAAAATCTATGTAAGTTTTCTTACATAATTCTATTGCTTGAGAACAAGTATTGTTCCACCATGGCAAAGAAAGTCTTGCCTTGTCATTACTGACTAAAGAATGTTTTAAATTTCCATGTGAATTATTAGCTGTGTTAATGCTTTCTATTAAAATATTGCACATTTGTTTATAGGAGTCTAAAGGGGTGGAAGGATCGTAATTAAATTCATTACATAATTTATTATCAACAGTCTCTTGGTATACAAGCCAGTTTACATTATTGTAATTTGGCCTAAAAAAATTACTATGATTAATGGAAATGTTATTTGCATTTACAGTGTTACATAAAAGGTGGGTGATGGTTGGAAGATGATAGCTCCCTAAAGGATTATCATGTACAGACCAATTGCATCGGAGTGACAGAGAGGCAGAAACAATTGTAAGATCCAGAGCACTTGGACTCCATATATCAGAGCCTACAGTAGTGGGTTGACCATTATTAATTATACAAAGATCATTGTCTTCAATAGTATTAAGAAGAATAGTGCCTCTAGAATCGGTTCTAGAGCAACCCCAAGTGGTATTGTGGGCGTTAAAGTCACCAGCTATTATCATAGGTGATGGGATAGATTTAAATAAGTTATCTAAATGTAAATGTGTAAAGTTACGTGACATTGCGGATGTAGGGCTGTAAAAACTAACAAAAGAAATTGTTTCATTTTTCAAATATAATTTTAAAGCGATATTTTGCAAAGAATCATCGTGATATGTATTTAATCTGTTATAATTCAATTTGTTTTGTATTAGAATGGCTACACCATTATGATTATTACCAATGTCTAATCTTTCTATATTATAACCTTTGATATTAAAGTTTTTGAAAGGCTTTAGCCAAGTTTCAGAAAGAAGGGCGATATGTATATTGTTGTTATATAAAAAATAAGTAAAAGCAAGTCTATTATTTATTAAGCTCTGGGCATTCCACTCGATAATATTTAAAATATTATCCATTAAAGAGATACTATTAATTAGTGTTAGTACTGGAAATCTTAAAAGTATCTAAAATTATGTTTTTTATGCCTTCTGAGTTTAAGGGAGAGTCATCTGTTTTATTAACAGAAATAATTTTAATAACTGATGCAATGATTAATTTTAAAAAGTCATCATTTTGCAATAATGTGTTAATATTGTCAGTAGGTTTAGTTTTAGTGTTTAAAGATGGAAAAGATTTTTCATTAAATAAACTAGAGAAAGGAACAGTCTTGGGTTTTATTTTGTTTTCTTGTATTTTCTTCTTTTTAATTGGGCATTCAGCTGAGATAGCTATATGGTTACCATTACAGTGAAGACATACAGCTTCTGTGCTATTTTTAGTGCAATCTTTAAAATGATGGTTTTCTCCACATATTGAGCAACGTTGAGTATTTTTGCAAAATTTACCAATGTGGCCATATCTCAGGCACTTTAAACATTGTGTTACTGGTGGGGTGTAAGCGCTTACCTCGAAATACCATGAATTGATATCGACATTCGTAGGGAGTGTGGGACAGGCAAAGGTAATGGCGACTGATTGGGTGGGCAGAAAACTTGTGTTACCATCTTCATCACGACTTCTT